AGAAAACACTCCAAGAAGGTCACAAAGACTTTACAATATCTTTTTTTCTCTCTTTTGTTTTCAGTTCATCTCACTTATGAAGTTTCAAAGTGTGAAAGCTATTTATAAACTTTTTCAGATCCAGATAATCGATTATTTTAAAGGATAATCGATTTGTTTTGTTCTTCATGATTTCTGGAAACCACTCAAGAACAGAATAGTCGATTATTTTGCATGATAATCGATTATTCCAGAGAGTACTTCCTGGAATAATTGATTATTTCACAGATAATTGAGTATTTCAGCAAGGCTCTTTTCACTTGTTGTTGGAATAATCAATTACATTTAATGATAATCAATTATTTTGAGTTAGCTTTCAAAAACTCGATTTTATACTTCAAAAATCTTTCCAAGTGTTTTAAATCATCATCACACTCACTCTTAGTCAATTTAGATTAAGATTAACTCATGCACAAAGCATACACTTGCAAAATAAACTAATCAAAGCAATACAACACTTAAGAACTCATGAGTTACTCCTATTACACATCATGATATTCATATCTTCCTTTCTTTACTGGTTTGTGTCCTTGGTCAGCTTCAACTCCTTTGTTATCATCAAAACTCTCAGAATCCAGATTTGTGTTGATTCATTACCCCATGAATCTCAACAAGAATCACACAAGGAATGCAATAGAATAATCAAAAAGCAAAATAGAAAACTTTCATAAAGTGTCTATTCCTATAGGCATACATCAGATAATGGATTGGAGTCAATCTTGCTACCCAACAGATATTCCCATACGCCCAAGTGAGGTTTCTCACTCCCTCTTACCTTGATGAGCCAAAGATGAAGCACGGACAGAGTTGGGTTGTTCCTCTTCTTGGAACTCTCCTTGTTCATCAGAAACGTGAGAGAGAAATGAGAAGTCAGAAGCGTGAAATGAAAATAATAATAGTAATAATAATAATAATATTTAGCAAAAGATCACTACATCCTTCCTTCCCTTCTCATAAAATAATTAATACAATATAATATAATATAATGAAAATACACTTCTTCTCTTTAATCAAATAACATAAGTATAATTATTAATAAAATACAATTCATAAAAGTTATCGATATATTACCAATCGAAATAATAATTACAAATCATGTTTTATAATAAAATAGTGTTCATATAAGTAATTAAATAATATAAAAATCCTTTAATAAACACACTTAAAAATATTAAAATAATTTCTAAAATATTATTATTATAAGGTATGGAAATCGGGGTGTTATAGTATGTGTGTTATTTCTAGTAATTTTCTTTGAAAACATAAGACCAGTGTTATTTAAATGAATTAATGAGTGACTTTTGTGTAACAATCTAAAGAAAAAAGAGCATAAAGGATAAATAATATCTCTTCAACAATAAATTAAATGGGGAAGATTAGATATTACATTGATTGGCCTCATGTTGCTAGCAGAGGGTCGCCAAGACTTTTTCATTGTGCTTCTACCTGGCCTCCATGTACTGTAGAAGTTCAATGATGGATGGTGCAACAAGTGGCACAATGGTGGTGGTGAATGGTGCCACGAGTACCAAAAGCAGCATCCCAAGCGTCGAGACCGGTCCAATGGAGGTTATTGCTACATTATTTCTCATTATTTGGTTTTGGGTTGAAACCATGTGTGGCCGAAGAATATTGTTAGTTTGGCCCATATTGGGTACCAAATATTTTTACCAAAATCTGCAAGTGCTCCAACAATGGGGACAATGTCTTAGTTGCTCCAATATGACACCTGCAAAGACATTTCGACGCTTAAGTTAGAGGGAAGTTTAGATTAAGAATGAGATTTGTAATACCCTTATTTTTAGTTACCTATTTGTATAATTTTCTATAAACTATTATATGTTTTATTGTAATAAATATTATAAATTTATTATAACTAAAATTTATTTAGTGTTATTCAACAAAATTTTATTCAGTGATGTGCATTTTATTGTCAAATTTGACTATTTTCGAGACAATGCTGTGAATATGCTGTAAAAATTTGAATAATTAGATTTAAGAAAATTTGTAATCTAAAGGATAGTTTATTAAGAGTAGATTAAAAATAAACACAATAATGAGAGAAAAACTCAAAAATAGAATTTACAAAAAACAAATTAAGATTTAAGTTAGAAAATTTATTTTGCTAAAATATTAAGTTAAGAAAATTATAGAAAAAATGTTCAATATGATATATAGAATTTTATCTTAATTGTAGTATTTTAGAATAATTAATAAAAATTATCTAACTAAGAAAAAGTAAAATATAAATTTTAACCAATCAAATTATGACATGTAAGCAAATTCTAATTAATTAAATTAATATTAATTAACATGATTAAGAGATGATTGGGAATGATATTATATTTTGATGGTGAATATTCTAATGATAATATTAGTTTTTTAAAATTATAATTAATTTGTAAGATACTTTAATAATTCTATAAAATTCTAGAAATTTCTATAAAATTCTACAAAATGAACATATAAAATGGTTTGGAAGCTTAATCATTAAGATATTTAAATAATTCTACAAAATTCTAAGAAGTTCTATAAAATTCTACAAAAATTATCGTTGTAACAATGTTGGGTTTAAACATTTAGATTTCTTCATAAGTTGCTTCGTCTGTCTTCTTTATTGATTCTAGATATTAACGTTGACGCATTAAATGTGAACATTAAATGCTTATTAGTGATGCATGTATCTCTTATTTGATCCAGACAATTACATATCATCATTTCCTTTTATTTTGAGTGCGAAGTGTAGTGTCGATGTAGAGCAATCTTTGTAGTGTTTTTTTCCATGTAATTCATGATTTTCTCTTTCTTTCTTGATACAATGATTTGACATTTCCTTTTTGAAAAGCTTTTGTTATCTATTAAGGAACAAATAATTAATGCTCCTTAAAGATTATTTTGTTATTCTAATGATATATAAATGTGACATTAATACATGATGCACTTCGTTTGGTACACTTCGTCTTATAGACAAATTATGACACTTGCTTCGTCTGAGATGGTCTCTTGAAAAATTTGTTTGTTATCATAAAAACTCATAGCTACTCTAAGGGTCAAGATCATCTTTTGATTCTACTGACTTTCTTTTTGATCTTACATATTCCTAACTCTGGGAGCTTGAATCTCCAATTCAATCACCTTAGATCAGTTGAAGGGAAAGAGAGATAAGTGGAGATAGAGGAAGAATAAATCTTTTTGACTCTCTCTAGAGACCTCCACTCTAGTTTCTCTCAACTTTTTTTTTTTAAAACACGAACTTATGAGATTCGTGTTTTAAGAAAAACCTTATATATATTTTCTTAAATTGAATCAACTTAACTCTAATTGAAACTATCTTAGAGACAACTTAATTCTCAAGGACCCCTTGACTCCTAGAGTTCTAAGACAAAATAATAATAACAATTTATCATATATTTCATTCAATCAAATAAAACACCTAAAATATAGTGTTACAATATCAATTATTAAATTGAAAATTCAATTGTTTTACTTATTAAAAATTTTCTGACATGAATATGAATATTTGATTTATCAAATGTTTATTTTTTAATGCTTACAATGAAATTAGTTATTAACAATATTTTAAAGTTTTAAACCGCGATGTTTCATTATTATGCTTAATATTTTCATAAAATTACAACAAATGTGATAATTTTGTATCATTATTATTAATAACGGTAATCGTAGATGTTGTAGTATTTACATTATTTTTCATGTGATTAATTCATAAGAAGCTTTTCAATAAAACTTTCTCGCTCAAATCAAAAGGAGTATGAGTGCTAAGATAAAAGAAGAAAGTAATATGATGATATTACACTATCAAATGTTTTTTTAGTGTATATGCTAACAAGTGTTATAATCACTTTAAGACAAAGTTACCAAAATATTTAATTAACAAATTGAATAAGCATAGTATACGAAAAATTAAAATAAATTAAAATAAATATTGAATTAATTACATTACTTTTATTTGAAAAATACAATAATTGTTTTGTTTATAAAAAATAATGAGGTTAATTTGTGTTTATGAAATAAAATTAACTTTTAAATTATTATATATATAAAATATTATGACAAGAAAAAAGTTAGATATTTTATTATATGAATTATCAAAATAATCCATACATTACATGAGTGCCTATCATGACAATATCTAAATGACAAAAACTTTTTTCAAGAACTAAAGTAAGATAATCAAATTTCATATTCCACCTATTTTATATATGCTTATAAAATAATTAAATACTTTTTTTTACTAAAAAATATATAAAAAAAACAATAATTTTAACATAAAAAATAAACTACAAAATTACATTAATTAAATTTTATTTGAGATAAATTTAAAATAAAATAAGAATTATATAAATATCAAAAAAAATCTAAAAAAATAAATTAAATCTTTAAAAATTTAAAACACGAACAATACAAATTGTATAAATATATATCCATTTCCATTTTCATACCATGAATAAATCAAGTATTAATCATATTTATATTTATATTTATGCATAATTAAATTAAATATATCCTATCGAAATCATGATAAATTTAAGCAGGATTCACGGACAAAAAATTTACTTAACATAACATTGGATTACATCAACTTGGCCTAAAAAGTTTAAAATAGTCAACAAAAAATCGATTTTTATCTAGAAAAAAAAAAATAAAACAGTAAAAGAAAGTCGTTTCATATTTCCCCAATCACGCCGTCCTTTTACTTAGTATAATACCTTCGTATCGCTAATTTTTTGCCCACGAATTTGGTGTTCTGTTCACTATTTTTCACCGTCTCTTTGCTTGCCTTACCCCTCACTTCACAGCATCGCGGTAACTGGTAATTGACACACTCCTATGTCCCGTTTCATTATTTCTTTTGTCTTTTTTTTTTTTTTTTTTTTTTTTTTTTTTTTT